TCCATTCCCCCTTTCAGTAAACACGCAGAGCTCTTGGGGCTGCTGACTCCTCCTCACACTGCCCCCAGCGCAGGAAGTCCACTCCAGACTCCCATCCCGGGCCAGCCAGCTGGCACTCTCCGCAACCAGGAAAGGAAGACGTTCTAGTCCTTGCTCAGGGCTGATCAAGCACACATTCCATGCCTGTTTCGTAAACTCTGCAATTAGCTTTCCTTCCAAACATGATCCCCTAAAACCCTGAGAAACAAAAATAATTCTACCACATGCTTCTCTCTGGACCTTTAAAATAAGCTAAAATGTTTTTTCTCCAATAGACAACATGCTATCTTGCATATTTTATGAAAAGGCTGAAAAAAAAACCATGATAACCATCTCTTCCAGGATTTCCGTTTTCTTTAGGGAAAAAACAAGATGCAACAGGGCTCTAAAAGAATTATGAGATTATGATCATAAGAAATCCTTGTCTCGTAAGAGCTTGAGCCTGAGAATTTTGCTTTTGAATTAGGTTCTTTGAAAAAAAGGAAAACTCTGGAGATAAGGGGCTCCTGTGGACACAAAAAATCTGGACCTAAAGGAAAAAAGTGTCCGTGATAAATAGGATTGAGGCTGATCTAAATATCTGAAGGGTCACAGCTGCCTGACCCCGAAATCAGGAAGTCTTCTCCTGAGAAAGGAGACAGGATCATCACACAGCTGTCTCAGAGCAAATTAAGGAGGATCTTTCTTAAATTAAATGGTGAACACTGGGCACCTGAGTGGCTCTGTCGGTTAAGTGTCTGCCTTTGGCTCAGGTCATGATCCCAGGGTCCTGGGATGGAGCCTGCTTGGGCGTCCCTGCTCAACACAGAGTCTGCTTCTCCCTCTAACTCTCCCCCCTTCCCCTGCTAGTGTACCCGCATTCTCTCTCACTCTTAAATTTTAAAAAGTCTTTAAAAAATAAATGCTGAATTTATTTCCTCCCACCCCCAGGCGCTATTCTAGATCTTTCATATGTATTATCTCATTTAAACTGCTCAACTATCACAATAGATGGTTACTTTAGTTTTCCTCTGCTTACAGCTGATAAAACCAAGGAAGAAAAAGATTAGGTAAAAGACTAGGTTTAATTTAACTAGAATGACACAATCTGTGTCGGTAACCCCTGCACTCAAGGTTTCTCACTCCTACATCTGGACCCACCTCAGACAAACCCAGAAGGGCTCTCCGTGGGGATTTCAACAGAGATAAGGAAGCTGAGGAGAGAGCAGGAACAGAGTGAGGAAGGAACAGGAACAGAAAGCAGGCAGAGAGAGACAGCAAGAGAAGCGAGCTCATTTCCACAAGTACCTCAGCCTGGAATGAGTTGAGGAGGGGAGTGGAGTCCCAGCGAAGGCTCTGTCTGACTAACCCTCATGGCTCTTGGGAGGCAGACATCGGCTCCCACCGCAATGATTCCCAGCACACCTTGACAAGGGGAAGACCAGACGCCTTCATCCTTGCACAGAACGCTGAGAACACCTGCACGGTGGTAGGAAGCGGGCTGCACTCGTGCTTGGAATATTCTAGTGAAATTTTGTTTGAACTTCAGTCATCTCCGTGTGCACGTCTTTGTGCACTCGTTCACCTGCATACTTGGTGCCAAGAGAAAATTTCTCTTACTGAATTAAACTTAGCACAAGAAGAACATGAGCACAAATGTTGCCGAGGGGTGACCCATTCCGGGCTCTCTTTCCTGTCTGCCATCTTTGTGTCGCTGATACGGAAGCATTTTCCAAATGAAACACTTCAACGAACAAAGCAGAGCTCACTCCTGCTTTGAAAATTCATCTTGAGAGGCGTCCCCTATGCAACACATCATCATACTGAGTGACCAGCAGGTGTGAAATTCTGTGGTAAGTTCTGCGGGGACCACATCCCCTCTGCTTCTCTAGACTTTAGTCGAGTACTAGAGACACAGAAATAGATGGGGGAAAAGAATCCAAACAGAATTGGGGAAGGGGGTGCAAAGCACAAGCAAAATATTGTAAGGATGCACCACGATATTTATTCTTTGTCATGTAATATGAAAATATTATTATACCTATAAAACAATATGGGGAAAACAATGAAATTGTTTCCAAATAAAACTCAGCATCTTCTTTCAACTAGCTTTTACCTACAAAGCATTATAGCATTTATAGAGAAACAGAGTTCTAGAAGGATGGTTCTGGTTCAACCACTTGTTAACTTGGGAAAAGATTTAACATCTCTAAGACTGCTTCCTCCCCAAATCATGTAATGAGGTAATGTGAATGAAAGAGTTTTTAAAGAACTGTGCAAATACATTGTCTGTGCCTGCAACTCATTCTTAATATTCTAATTGTTACTGTAAAAAATAAGTTGAAAATCTACAATTATTCATGAATATTTCTCAATACAATACGGGAATTACTTTCTCCAGAATTATATGAATGTTTTACATTTTTGGTTCATATTTACTTTATAGATAAAACCCTGAAAGTACCCTATTAATTTTAAATTTTTTCCAGTTTTGTTGAGATATAATTGACATAACATTATGTAAGTTTAAGGTGTGCAACATGACTTTCATATATATGCGTATATACATAGCAAAATGATTATAAAGTTCTCTTTAAATGTCTCTGGGCAGTTATTAATTTAAAGCAGCTCACAAATTACACATTTAATCTTAAAATGTAAAGGTTTTTAGCTTTTTCTGTGATAATGCAATTTTGTGCAAATCAAAACTAAATCAAATAATTATATATAAAGTTACAAGAACAATTTTTCAATGTGTTTAACTAGAAGAAAACAAGAAAGAAACCATCTGGGCATAAAACTGGTAATTGCTAGGATTAATACTATTTCTGAATTCAACTTCCTTAAAAATAAATCACTTTATAATTTAATTAGGTTTCCATCTAAAGAAAAAGCGCTAATAAAAGCTCAGATAAGAGAAAGTGGGCTTGGACAATTGATTTAAAAAAGAATCCACATAATCGTAGGGCTTAGTTTTTCATCTACAGCTCCCCTCAAAGTCATCAGAATGACTTTTATATCAAAGAGCTTCCATGAGTGACAGGAGCAAGACTTGCTTTGTACTGTTTAAAAGTCACTATTCCATGAAATAACTTCAGCCTGCCAAGATGAGGAAGAATAACAGATGCTGTTTTTGCGTTATCTGCATTATTCCAGCCAGCCGTCCTCAGACATTTGGGTCATATTTCTGGAAATTTGGTACTTGCATTTGACAGGGGAATCATGTAACCTCACCTTTTGGCGTGACCTTTCTAACTGGCACAGAGGAGTTCTGTGGCAATTATCCTTAAGCTGGCCCAAGTTTAGCTATTTTTTGCATGTACTAGAGCATAAATCGAATAATTTAAAAGTTAAGATGCTCACCCAAAACAAACCAGTATGAGAAAGTTTCTTTACACGCCCTGCACTTTATTAAGATGTTTAGATTCTGAAAGTGTTCCAATTATTTACAACCTTAAAGTAGCCTGGGGAAAAAGTTCCTGTGTTCAGATGTGTCTGATCACTGTTTTCAATATTCTGCATGTGGATTTTTAAAAATCAAATTTTTTTCATAAAATGGCATGCCCTGCTTGTGCACACTGATGCAGAACTTTGCCCCTGTAAATAAATAATCAAAGTGCGATTACTTTGTGAAAACTGTATTAAAGCTTTCTCACCTCACAAGATGAAGTAGGTAAATCTTTTTATAATTCTTATAATCAGTGATTAAAGAAGTTAGCAAGGGTTTTTGTTTATCTCAATCAACAGGTTTCAGTATCTATTATATTTAGATTACTGTATACAATTAGTATTTACTGAGCACTTACAATGTACCAAATGCTGTTTAAGTTTTAAATGTATTATCTCATTTAATCTTCAAATAAGTATAGAGATAGCTTGAATTCTGCTACCCCCTTGTATTAAGTCACCTTTAGAAAAAGGAAAATTGAAATTTTTACACATTGAAACAAATGAAACTCTCAATGAATTTTTTAAAGATCTGTAAGTAAAAATGAAAAATCGTAAGTTTCAATTGAATACACTCTTAGTTAAAAGTTTCTACATACTTCAAAAACCAGAAAAGCAATATTTCTCCAATTCATTTCGTAAAAATTAGAGAGAATAAGAAGTAAAGGACTAACATTAAATAATAATTGCTTTATAAAAATGATATAATGTGACAAATCTTAGTACACTACAGAAAAAGCATAAATCACTTTTAAGTGCTGTACATAGGGACGAAAACAAGTAAATCAAATCTGTGAGTAGAAAAACCAAGCTAGACATAGTTATTATCTTTACAATGTTTTAATGCTTCCCAAGTAGTGAGTATTTTCAGAAAACATAGAAATCTATAACTTATAAATTGATTACAAAATATATAAGTAGCCTGAAAAACTTTTTCAGTGCAAAATTAGTCTTCATAATTTTAACTATTATTTTTGATGCAACAAAATTATAAAATGAGAGTCCTCAAATGGATAAATTGAATTTCTCTAAGCATGATCAAAATCTTCTCATTATTGATTCCTCTCCACACTTAATGATGTGAAAATATGTTATATTACTTAGACCTAATTTCTGACATCATGAATAGCTTATAAAATTGAATAAGAGTCTGATCTAGTAAATGTGCACACACAATCACCACAAATATGTACATTTTAGTTGTTATATAATATTATCACTTCCATAATATTTCCCTTCAGTTGGACAAATTTTAAGAAATAAATAGTAGCAATCACTTTGAGAGTGCTATTTTCAAATACATTCATCCTTAAAAACTTTTTGTGGACTCTATATTATCTTTTCAAGTGACTAAAATATAAAAATGATTACTTATAAGAACATCTTGGTTAAATGTACATATAATTTAAAAAAAACAAAACATTATGTCCTCTGAGCAAATTGTTCCTCTACCAATGTGGGAAATCACTTTGTTCCATTCTACAAATGTAGAAACTCCGTAACACCTTTAACAAGTATAAAGTGGTTCTACTTACACTTGCGTGGAGTTTTCCTTTTTTTGACATCGCTAAAAATTTGTTGCTGAAAACTCCTCGTATTCCTACAATCCCCTGAGACACAGCAAATATTTCCAAAATACCTAGGATGACAGAAATCCCAAAATAAAACACAGACTCCTCTATATATCATTGTGTAGAATTAAATTTCTACATAGATTCTTTTCATTCTTTATAGCTGTGATTTAAAAAAAAAAAACAGTATTTAACATCCATATCTTTCATGACATTCATTATGTTCAAAAAAAAGTCTAGCATGCAAGTGTTCTCTTAAAATAGCAAATTTTAATATTCAAAAACTTAGTTCTGGTTCATTAATAATTTTTTTTTCCTTACAAATAGGTCACTTTTAGTAAACAGTGTTTACCAACAGAATCTTCTCAATCTTAGTCTTAAATTTTTTCAAACTAATTCTCATCCATTGTTTTCTATCAGAGAAAATACACTGCTTTTAATATTAAATCTCATAAAGTCTGGCCCAAGACTGATATAAACACTGAAAGCCAGAGACAAATTCTACTTATTTACATGAAATAAATCCCTCTCCTCAAATTATAATAACTATACAAATCAATATATACCATATTCAATCATTCAGTGAATAGTTTGTTTAAAGACCACACATAAAAAGATGTTGAAAGCATTATAAATAATTTAGGATTATTGGCTCAAGGAATGTTAAAGCATTATGGTTTGGGACATCCTGCATTTTAAACGGTTTTTCTGGCAAAAAATTTAATGAGGTATTTTATTACATTACTGTTTATATTTAGTATTTCATAGTTAGCATTATCAAGTCCATGTTCCTCTGTCTCCTATAATAATTTGAAAGTCCACATCAACTGTGTCAAGAGAATCACATAGAACAGTTCACACAGTATTTTAAGATAAAATTCATAGTCTGTATATAATTAGAATTCCTGCCTGTTTATCATAAACTCATATATAGTTTATATGAACATGAGAAAAGCATAGTGCTTTTTTGTTAACTGCCCACCTCAAATTGCCAAAAAATTGGTAGGGGAGGACAAAATCTTATAGTTCACTAGAGCTAAGAAGAGACCTAGCCTAGGAAGAAAGAAAGGAAAGAAGAAAGGATGGGAGAAGGGAAGAAAATCTCAACCTTTTAACCTAAATTATTCTGAATATACATACTAAGTAAGATATCTCAATAATATTCTGCTGAATAGAGAAATTCACCGGAAATTTTGAAAAACAGTAACCTCCACCTGCAGTATTTGAAATACATATAAAATTATTCAATTTACCAAAAAGGCAATATTGTGGATACACATATAAATGACATACAGAAATACATATATATGAATACCTTCATTAGGCACTTTTTGCACAATGTGAGTTAGTACCTATAATTGTAGCAAATATTGCTGCTTATTTATTCAACTTGATTTCTTAAAAACACTTGATCAGAAAGTTCATGGGGGGAAAGGGGTAGCCAAAGAACTATTGTCTTTGTTATAAGCATATTTAGTCCAGAGTAAACAAAACACTTCTAGGAAACTGCCACTACCCCTTTATTAGTGGATATTTCTTGAAAACAAAACAAAAACAAAAAACCAAAAAACTACTTGAAAGGGACTACTTTCACTTTTAAGAAGAAATTCCTAAAGAAACTGTCATCTCATTATTTTCTTCAAAACATTTTCAAGATGCTCTCTTCAATAGGTTTGCTGTACAAATTATTTGACTGATGCACACTCAAGGATTTAGAAGCATTACCATTTTATCACATAGTGACGAAGCACACAGAATGCTTTGTAAGGTTAGATACAAGATATGATGTAATACATTGTGATGATGTTATTAGTAAAGCTTTAATAGAACATGATACAAAGTTATATTTCTATCACACTTACAGAATATTAAAAACAGCTTAAGGATTTTAGATATTTGGAAGATGGGGGAAATGTTGTGAATGTTGCTTAAATGTGTTAAAAAATGAGACACCGAAACATGAGAAATTGGCTACGTGTGGAGCAAGAGAAACAAAAGGGCCAATATGGATTGGTAAAAAGGAGAGTTAGTTGGATGTTTCCCCCAATTTACTTATGGTTCTACATTGTTAGTGTTTTTATTCATTCTTTGGAAAATTACTTGGTTTTGTAAATACAAACCTGTGTTTTAATGAAAAAAAATACATGGTAGCGTAAGTGATAGAATTCTTATTGAATGTATCGTTTACAGGCTAACATTTCAGAGGTCAAGACAAAGCCTCCGGAAGTATTTGTTTAAAGCTTCGCCTATGTAAACTATAGCTTCTGACAAGTAATGTATTCTATTTTGAGAAAAACCCACTTTGAGTCACTTGTTTCCTGATACACTCTATGTACATTCTGTGTGTATATGCTATGTAAAATTTACATCATAACAAATTACACAGGGAAGATGAAATAATATATGTAAAGGGTTATTATTTTATTATATATACTGCTTGGTTTCTTTTCTTGCAAGTGCCAGTGTAAAAATGATATATTGCCTGGGAATGAATGGATTTTATAATTTTTTATTTTTTTATTTTTTTAAAGATTTTATTTATTTATTTGACAGAGAGAGATCACAAGTAGGCAGAGAGGCAGGCGGGGGGTGGGGGAAGCAGGCTCCCCGCTGAGCAGAGAGCCCGACGTGGGGCCCTGGGGCTCTATTCCAGGACCCTGGGATCATGACCTAAGCCGAAGGCAGAGGCTTTAACCCACTGAGCCACCCAGGCACCTCTGGATTTTGTAATTTTTTAAAAATTATATTTAATTGAAAGCTTAAAATATACTTTTGCATATATTCTATTTAAAATTATGAAGAATGCAGGAAAGATAAAGATGAGATCAGATGCAATAATTATTTTTTCACATAGGTAACTTTGGTATGATCTTCTAAATCTTAATGTAATTATGATGTAATATTGAGAACGGTATTAAGATCATAATTTCCAACGTAATTTCAACAGTAATTTCACAAGATCTCTTTTATGAGAATGTTGGAGCAAATTCTGCAGTTCAACTCCCTGACCCCACCTCCAAGAGATCACACAATTATTGATTTTACTATACCAAATCTCAGGAAGGCACTAAAGAATTCTATATAATATTTTAAACCCTCATGCATTAAATCACACATATATAAATCCCAGAAAACATTTCTCTAAAACTAAATTTTTCTCAACTTCAGTAATTTCCTGACTCTTTTTAGAGCCAGTAATAATAAATTTTATGAGAATTTACAATTCCCATTATGGATGCCAAGATAGTATCCCTAAGCAAAATTGTGGAAGGCCAAGTATATCTCATAGATCAGATAGTCAATGAATGTTCACTAAACTGAATTTGACCTTCTCACAACCTCTGTTTCCTTTTTCAGGACACCCCATGTGCACACACGTATGGACACACATTTTACTCTCCTGCAATTCTGGCCTTCTGCTTGGGGAGTCAAGCAGGGTAATTACTTCCCATTAGAGTGCTAGTGACAATGTGTTATCTTTCTTAGGGTGTTAACGTGTAAGAGAATCAAAAGAAAAAAGCAGTACTTAATAGAAAAACACTACTTTCTCTTGGTGGAATTTGAGGGTTGACATCTAGATTGAAGGAGGCAAGAACTTATCCACACATTGTCTAATCCACTACTTACAAGCATAGACATGCATTACAAAGTAAGTTTATTTCACCAAGAGAATATATGTCTAGATTTTTTTTAACCTTTGTCCTCTCCAGATTTTTTTTAATACTACAGGACTCTATTAATGATGGTTGATAAAGTCATGTACACTTTTCCCTTTTCTCTTTTCTTAGTGAATGGCATACAAGACACAGATACCTGTATTCAGAAGCTTTCAACAGCTCATCTGAAAATCCTCAAAGAAAATAATTCAAAACTGAAGTTTCTCTACTTGCATTCACACAGCAACAGATATGCTGTACCATTATCAAATCTGAGTCTTGAAATACCCAACTTAGCAGTTTTCAGTGATTAAATTAGTAACAGAAATCTTTCATTTGAGTTTTTCTGCTCAGTAGATATAGCTATAGATTTAGCTAGGCTTGGGGGACTACTTAAAAGGTTGACTCTACATGACCCCAAAATTGATAGTGAATTTAGATTTTCAAAAATTAATAAAACCAAGGGTTCAGTTCAGTCAGAATATATGATTGGAATTTTCATATTTTATGTGAACACTTTGGCTTTGTGCAACCATGGTCTTCAACTTTAGCTGCCTGAATGGATAATTACTTGACTGCCTGTTCGTCAATGGCCCAGCATAAGTCAAGAGAAGCATTGAAACTGAACTTGGAAGTGTATAAATTAAAGCAAAACCTTTGTTTCTATTCAACAGCGGGATTTTATCATCTGCCTTGTTTGTCCATCTTTCTTAATCCTTCCCTAGTATTTCTTCATACTAAGAGTATGAAGACTGACTTATTTTTCTGTCTCCAAAACCTAGAATAAATACTGTGTAAGAGAAGCTAAGAATATATTAAGTGGTGTGCCTTAACTAAATAAATTGTGTTTCCAAATCTATGGTCAGAGTATACTTCTGATGGTAAAACTAGAAGATATTCAGTTTTCAGAAATGTTAGTATCAAATGATAGTTATATGCATCTCTTCTGACAAACATTACAGAAAATTACTGAGTTTAAAAGAACCTGTTAGAAGGCAGTTTGACTAAAAAAAGAAGAAGAAGGCGGTTCGATGGCAAGGTTTTGACTGTTTTCTGAAGTAGCACATATTATGCTGTAACCAAAGGAATGTAAGTTTTCTATCATTGCTAACTCACAGACAGTAAAATGAGATGGTGAGGTAAAACTCTGGTGTGTCCTCTGTGGTCCTCTTTGGTCCCAGCTCTGTGTCTCCTGTGAGACTTAAACAACAAATGTTTCCTTATGTACTCTACCCAACAGTCCATGACCAATGCCTTAGTTCTATGTACGTGTCAGGAAACCGTCAAGTGTTGCTTTCAAAGAAGTGTATGTCCACAATTAGCAGGTTTCTGTTTCTCTTTCACAGTTCTTTGGGGCAGAGGCTTATCTTAGATTTCCAAAGTACATGCTTTCCCACTAAACATGACATATTTCATAAATTCTCCATCCAGCTGTGGTAGCGAAATCATAGTTAGTAGTATTGGACACCAGACATCACAAAGCAGAAAACCACCAGGACTTAAATATTCAAGTTATGGTTTTCTCTGTGAGAAAAATCTATGGAAGGCAAAAACAAACTAAAAAATCCCCCAACTCCCAGAAGTAATCAAAATATTAAGGCTAATGATGTAGGCAGCCTTTTAAGGACGCACACATGAATGAATGAGTGAATGAATGATGTCGGCCATCGGAAAGACAGATCACACTCTGAAAGGCTATTCTAAACAGGAATGAATGGGGGCACGTGTTAAATTAAGGAAGTTTTATTTAGGTGTTTTTTAGTGAATGTCACTGTTCCTTTCTAGGTATCTTTTTAAAGTGGATTTTAAAATAAAATGTACCTTGGGGCGCCTGGGTGGCTCAGTGGGTTAAAGCCTCTGCCTTCAGCTCAGGTCTCAATCCTGGAGTGCCAGGATCCAGACTCACAACCGGCTCTCTGCTCAGCAGGGAGCCTGCTTCCGATTCTCTCTCTGCCTGCCTCTCTGCCCACTTGTGATCTGTTTCTGTCAAATAAATAAAATCTTTAATAAAATAAAATAAAATGAACCTTGTTAATAGCAATATCGGTCAACGCCTCCTTTAGGTGAATGTATTCTTTGTTGAACTGCTCTCATGTTCCTTCCTGTGCTTTTCTAGAACCTCCCTTCTGGCAAGGCCTAAGTTTCAAAAATCTCTGTCTTTTCCAAGAGAGGAGGGTGAGTATATTGGGAAGGAGTTTGGATTTCAGAGACCACTAGTACATCCAAACCCACCCTAGAGACGTGCTTTTCCCCCCTGAGATCCAACCAGTAGCCTGTTAAATGCTAACTTTGGGTCCTCCCTTGGGAACACAGAAGTTATCTTGTGCTGGTGCTAATTTCCTGGATAAAACTACAAGAACGGAACAGGAAAAGTTTTCCTGTAAAAGAAAGGTGGAAAGATCAGAGTGGGAAGTTGGGTGGGGGGAAATGAGAAAGACAAGTGGAAATACTGAAGTACATGGCGACTCTCGCTGCCCCTGAAATCTCGGGAAGGTCCCCTTCGCCCTAACACGCCTGCCCTTTATGACCCAAGACGGTGAGTTGGTTGATAAGTGTGCGGAGAACCTTAAAACGTAGAAACAGCCTCCTCCACGGAGCGAGTGGTAGGCCCCGGGGCTCGCGGGGGCACACTCGGAAGAGCGCTCTCTGGTTCGGGGCTCCAGGACCGCGAAACAGGCGCACCGCGGGCCGCTCAGCTCGCAGGAGGCGGGGCAGGGGCTGGCGTGGACGCGCACCGCCAGGTCTCCCGCACCCTGCCTCCCGAACCCCCGGGGGCAGCCGTGCCCGCCCGCACCGCTCCCCCGACGTGCACACCTCCAGCCCTGCTTGGCAGGCGGCAGCCAGATTGCCAGCCCCGCCGAGGCGCCCGCGCTCCTCCGGGGGTTAGAGAAGCTCAGTGGCCCGTGGGGTCGTGGATTTGAAACGAAGCAGGTGCCACACACCTGGGAACGAGCTCCCGGGCTGACACTCGACAGCCAGGGGACCGGATGCCGCGCAGCCTTCTGGCCACGCTCCCGCTCCTCCTGGGTATCTCGCAGGCCCCGGCTGTGGGTCTGTCTGTTGGGCTGACCCCTGCCGGATGAGCGATCTGGCCCTACCGAGGAGAAGCCTCGGAGAGATCGTCCCAGTCTCGTGCACACCCCGAGTCTCATCTCTCCAGCAGCTCTGGAGGCAGCGAGAGGAACCCGAGGAGCAGCAGTGACGGGCTGCAAACGCCCGCGGACGGAAGGGAAGAGGGAAGGGAAGAGATGCAGCTAGAGAGAGAACTCAGAAAGAAAATGTCAAACTTTGCTTTAAAAAAAAAAACAAAAAAAAAAACAAAAAAAAACTTAACACACTGTGCACCTGTAAGGAATTGAACCTCCTCTGAGTTTCTTCCAAAATAAGGAACTTTTCCTTAACCGTCCTGGGGAACCAAAGGCTGGCCACTTCCTCACAAGGTGCTGTCACGGTCTCAACGCACTGAACGTTGCTAAACCCAACTTTGAAGTCAGTCACTCCAATGCCCACCACTATCTTTCTCTAAACGTGTCCAGCTTTCCAGACGCCTGTCTTCTTCCCGGCAGCGGCTGTCTTGGTCTCCCCCGCGATACAGTACACATTGCGTATGTATGTAACGTGCAGGTGTGTATATGCCGTGGATATCAATCGGGACACGTGCATGTACAATACATACTGCTCTGGGCTTCCTGGTGGCCGTTGGAGGGGCGGCCTGTGAATGGGATTCTTCTAAAAAAAAAAAGTAACTTCAGTTTTGGGCAAGGAGAAGGGATGCGCTTTGACGCCTCTTGAAAAATGCTAGCCCGGCAAGCAGAAGCGGGAGGTAAACAGAAACCAAACAAGCAGAAGGACTTGTTACTTCTCCAGGCACAGGCTGGGGCTCCTCTGGGACCCCCCCAAGCGGAAACGAGGTCGCCTGTCCGGAGAGCCCAGCCGCTGGCCGCCTGCGCCGCAGGAATCGCCATTTCTCTAATCCGGAAAGGGGCGCGCGAGCGCGGCCACAGGGACGCATCCGCACCCCGAGCCGCCGGCCGCCCCGGGGCCGCCGGGTCCCGCAGCCCGCGTTCCCTAAGGTGCCCCCGCGGGCCGGGGCAAAACCGCGGTCCCGCCCGAGCCCCCCGCTGCCCGCTCAGGACGCGCTTGGCCGGGCGAGGGAGCAACTTACTTAACATGTTGGCTTCATGGGAGCCGTTGACTTTGCCATCCGGGTAGATCTGCAGATGGAAGCCGATGCCCACTCTGCAGTACAGGCTGCCGGTCCGGCGCCCCGAGGGGCTCCACTGGAAGCTGCTCTGCTCCAAGCCGCCGCCTCGGTTGCCCGGAGAAGCGCCGGGGGAGGGGGAGGCGGAGGACGAGGAGGAAGACGTCGTGCCCCTGCCGCTCCGGCTGCTGCGGGCGCCTCCCGGGCTCCGACCGGCGGCAGCGGGTCCGGGTTGCCCTTTGGCGGCGACGTGCTTCTCCCCGCGAGCCCAGGCGCTGAGGACGAGGTGGCTGAGGAAGAGGAGGAGGAGGAAGGACAAGCTCATTCTTCCAGCCGCCGGGTGTCTAAGTGCATCTTGTAGGGCTGCTTCTGGGCTCCGTGGCCCCCGCGCGGCTGCGAGCCTCTGGCGCTGCCCCCCTCGCCGCCGCGGGTGGACATAGCCTCGGGGACGAGAGGGAGGGCGGGCGAGAGGCCACGCGAGCGGATCCCGGCGCCGCGGCGGGGATATTTATAACGCCGGTGATCTCACCGCGCGGCGCACGCCCGCGAAGCCTCCCCTCACCCGCCGCTTTGCGCGCTCTCCGGCCGGTGCGGGCAGGGAGCCGCGCGGCCCCGGGGGCGGGGGTGTGCAGGAGGGAGGAGATGGGAGACGGCGAGTGGGAGGGGAAGCCGGGAGGAGAGGAGCTGCGCCCCGACGCTGGGCACGCGCAGACCAGGGCCACGCACCCCAGCAGTTCTCACGCGCCGCCGGCCCCCCTCGCGCTGGAGCGGGTGCCGCGCGGCGTTCGGCTGCGGGCGAGCGTCTGAGTCCTCCGGGGGCAGCAACCGAGATGGGGGGGGCTCTAAGCGTGGAAGTGGGTTCGCGTCCTCGCCCACCTCCGCCGCACGCCTGCGCCCCAGCAACGCACTCTTGCCCACCCGGACCCAGTTTCCAGGCTCCCTTCCCGTCCGCCGGCACAGCCCCCGTGCTGGGAAGCCCCGGGGAACCGAGTCCGGCCGAGAGCCTCCCGGCGCTGCCCAGGGCGCGCAGCGGGGGACCACGCCGGGATTCGCAGCCCAACTTGGGAAGCCTCTGGGCCGCGCGGCAGGAGGAGAAGGCTGGTCTTCTTGCTGCTGTTGTCTCTGATTTATTAAACATCTAAGGCGCGGGTTTATTTGGCATTTAGAGAGCCACCGTGAGCCATCAGGCCACGATTCGAGCTACTCTTCTGTTGGAAACTCTGGATTGCGCTAAACGTTATGCCCGATTTGCATTTCCCTATGGGAAGCTTTCGGTCTGCGTCCGGAGGGGGAGCGGACGCGCACACCGCGCTCGGAGAGGGGCAGGGGGGATTGGGTCTGGGCACCCGCACATGTGGCTGCCTGTCCAGTTGTCCTCTCTCACCCCAAGATCGCCTTGGCAGCAAGGATTAGCTAATGGCTCGCTTCGGCGTCCTCAGAGCTGCCGTTGACGGAAGGACCGACCCCAATGAATGATTGATGACGCGCGCGCTGGGTTTCAGGAAACCTGAGAACCGAGAATTTCCGTGTATGCGATGCCCCTACTGTCATTTATCTGAGAAATATACCTTACTTGCATTCTTGGAATATTTGTCTGAACACATATTTGGAGCTTTAAATTACACTCTGATAAATTATTCATTGGTCATTTTAATGAAAAAGTGGTAATTTTGCCCGATAAGGTCAAGTCACAAAAGCTAACCTGACGTTAAGTTACAGCTTTATCCATTACTGGTTACCCGCTTAAGAGTTCCTGTCTCAATAATGAAAAGCTTATAAGGCTCTTGTCGATTTTTCAGGATTGGAAATATTCCGTGACTACCATACTTAACATCAAGACAGCTATAAAACAGAGAAGTCACTGTGGGGAGAGAGATCATATCGCACATGGATGTGGACGGCTTGGACACGTGCCCCTGATACACTATTGAGATTCTCTCCTGGGCTGAACACCCCTCTCTTTACACTGTTCGAGCCTCAAGCTCTGTACTTCCTGCGTTAACTGGTGTGGGCAGGCAGACCCTCCAAGGCCGTCCTGCAAGCAGACATTGTGAACAGACAGCAGTCCCTCAGAAGAGTGTACCTGACCGAAGTTGTCTCTCTCCTGAGTGAGTGACTGTGGGAAGCTAACCTGGGCAATGTGCCCTCGGCAGGTGATGCCCATGGGGCAAAGCTGTCAGAGTTAAAGGCCCATAGGTAGGTGCTGCTGGATGCCGTCATTAAGTCCCCTTTCCTGTCACACAGTCTATCCCATGCCTCACGGGGCAAAGATTTTCCAAACAAATCCAGTTCCCCCTCCGTAGGGGTCTGCTCAAAGAGGAGTAGCTCTTGCCCCAGACGATCAGCCTCTTTCCAGAACCTGGGAAGCCAAAGACCATTTGGCTGAGCCTCTGGAGGCTGAGATTGGGCCTCCTGTTTTTTTTTTTTTTTTTTAAGATTTTATTTATTTGACAGAGACACAGTGAGAGAGGGAACACAAGCAGGGGGAGTGGGAGAGAGAGAAGCAGGCCTCCAACTCAGCCCGATGTGGGGCTCGATCCCAGGACCCTGAGATCACGACCTGAGCCCAAGGCAGACGCCTAGCAACTGAGCCACCCAGGTGTCCCCTGGGCCTCTTGTCTTTTTCCTTTCTTTCAGGTCCTCAAGTCACACCCCCATTGAAACAGCCGGTTTTTTTGTTTTGTTTTGTTTGTATCCCTCTTTTCCGCTGCAAGAGTCCAGTAGAGGACCAAACTTTTGTCTAGAGGTGACCTAGGAAGGCCTAGACGTCAGCCTGGGCTTTAAGTCCACCTCAGCTGAAGGCCGGCCAGTGCACTTACGCTTTCTCTGGGGTCCGAGGGGCGGACTTCAGGAAGGGCCTAGTGTTCACTAAGACAAGAGACGTGACCAGCTCTGGTGGGAAGGGATTGAATTTGGCAAACCAGACCCCAGGTTCCTTTCCAGCTCTCTCGGAGACTCGGGCGGAGGTGGGGTAGGGAGTAGTCCTCCGGGTGTGTTCGAGAAAGTAGGGTGGGGCTCACCAAACTTTTAAGATCTATGACAAGAGAGTTAAACACGTATTTGTTCATTAAAAACACGGTGGCCCTGCGGTCCCCGGCTGCACCCGCCCCGCCCGCGCCCTGCCCCGCGCCCTGCCCCGCGCCCTGCGCGGCGGGTCCCGCTGAGCCCGGCTTCCCGCGGACGCGCGGCCAGAAGGCGTCTCGCGGCACCATCTCGGCTCACCCACGCCTTGCGTCCCCTGAACCCCCTCCAGGAGAGCGCGAGCCACTTTTCTCTGGTTACTTCGGGGACCATCGACCCCTCCCCCACGCCCGCCGTCCACCCGCCAGCCGCCGGGCCGGGTCGGGGTCAAGTCACAGAAGCGCACGCGCGGCCGGGGCGCGGGGCTGCTCTCCCCGCCGCACTTTCCCAGCCCCGACGCGCGGCCCGGGAGAAGGCGCACGCCGCCCGCTGCTCGCAGGGGCAGAGCAAACGGTCCTCGAACCGAGTGCCCACTCCCCGACACCCGCTCCCCGACAAGGAACCGAAAAACGAATCCGCAGGTGAGGGGGTCCCCCCGCCCCCAGTCACCCGGGCGCCAGGCTCCGAGTGCGCGCGCGCCGGCTCGGTCCCCCCACTCTTGGAGGTCACCCGCCGCCGCGCGCCTCCCCGACGGCCCTACAGCAGCTCTGCAGCCCCCCGGCCTCGGCCCCTCTCCCAGCCCCAGCCCCCGAGCTGTCCTTCCGGACCTTTCCCGGTTCCGTCTGAGAAACCCGATGGCGAATCTCTCTTACGTCCTCCGTGGCTCGCGCGGGCGCCCAGACGCCTGAGGAGAAAGAATTCGGGGTGGGGGTCCGTGCCCGAGCCTCCCGCACTGCGGGGAGACGCTCGCTGTTCACACCCTTGCGCCGGTGGTACCTGGAGGCCGGTTTCCAGAGACCCCCGCTCCGGAGCGAAGGCACGGCCTGGTCCATCCTCCCTGCGTCGCGCCAGGACGGAGCAAGGGCAGGAGGTCCCCAGTGGGGTGGAGGAGCAGCCCTGGGCGGCCGCACGCCCGAGTCCGGACAGGCTCTGCACCCTGGACACCCGCTGCTCCTGCACCGGCCCGTCTTGCTCAAGCGTTTGTTCCAAGAGCCTCGGTGGCGCCCAATCTTTGTTCCGGGCCGAACCGCACTCCGTGAGAGTCGCCTGGCCTGAGGTTCCCTGCGGGAAGGCAGGGACCGGTCGTCTCTGATCCAAGCACACAGGAGCCGGAGGTTCTCGGCACGCTTTCCTGAGCCAGCGGCTTGAACCTGGGCCTAGAGGGCCCTGCGGCCCTCCCTGTCGGTTCCCGACACCCTTCCCCACAGCGAGAGGCTGTATCCGCATGGCGGGACCCCTTTTCGCTAACCAGGTCCCTGATGACTTGCCGGTGTGGGCGTCCTCCGTTCAGTTGGTAATGGAGGCGCAGCTGTACTGTGGGGGAGGTCAGGACCTGGCCGTGAGGGGCCTTCAGGCCATGCTCTGGCCAGGACCCTCTGTTTCCGGCCTTGCTTGCAGCAACGACAGAATAGTGGCGGAAGGAGGGCTTAGAAGGGCGGGGAGGGATGTGCGAGAAGGACACGAAGCCAGGGTGCCCAAGCAGGGTGGGTGGCAGCAGCAGGTGACCCGAACTTCTCCAGGTCCTGAGGCGAGAGGTCGTCATGGGTGTCCAGACTCCATGACTTGTTCTGACATGGCTGCAGGCCTCTGGCCTTCTCTGCTGCCTGTGGAGTCAGAAAGCAAAGCAACTTCTGCTCGTAGGAGTGGGTCTGCCGTGACCTGGATTGACTTCAGTGAAATCAGTTCTTTTCTTTAAAAAGTAGCTCAAAGCTCAACTGAAGCTCAACTCTACAGCTCGATCCGGGGGCTCGCCAACTAACCTCGTGACCATTTTGGTTTTAGTGTCTGATAAATCCAGCCACTGAGTCCACAGCACGACAGGCCTCTAGACACCTGAACCTGCAGTGTCCAATTCCAGACAAGTCACTGCTCTTCAAGTATAAAGCCCCTTGTCCTGTCTGCGGCAAGTCACAGAAGGTGAAGGAGGTGCTTCCCAGTGCCTCTTAAACATGAGTACAAACCAAAGATCATGTGCCTAAATATGATCTTCCCCAAACAGAGTCTAGCCTGACCCTTTAAAAAAATATTTTATTTATTATTTACTTGACAGAAAGAGACACAGAGAGGGAGCACAGGCAGGGGGAGGGGGAGAGGGAGAAGCAGGCTTCCCGCTGAGCAGGGAGCCCAATGCAATGTGGGGCTGGATCCCAAGACTCTGGGATCATGACCTGAGCCTGGGGCTGGTTCCCAAGACTCTGGGATCATGACCTGAGCCGAAGGCAAACACTTAACCAACTGAGGCACCCAGGCGCCTGACCAGTCTGCCTTTTGTAACAGGTTTTGT